TAAATGGAATCACTTTGAGTGTATTGTTCGGCAGCCTGCTTTGTTCATTCACTTGACAATATATATCCATTCCCTACATATACTCTTGTATACATCCAGTACATATTCCATTCATTCATCATCCTTCTTTTCTTCCTCCCCCTCCCCCTGCTTTCAATAGATAATAAATGTCTACACAGCCAAACAAAATAGATACAGTGCATTCTTTCTTCCTCTCACCCCACCATCAAGCTCATCCCTCCACTTGCCTTTTTTTTTTCTTTTCCACTTAATAGTTGACATTGGAGATCTTGCACAGAAGAGCTTCCTCAGTCTTTTAAATGGCTGCATAATGTTCTATTGTATGGATGAAGTATAATTTACTTCACCAGTCCCTTAATGATGGACTTCCGGTTTGCCATTCTTTTTCTATATTGTACAAGATGTCAGGAATAGCCTTGTGTTTGTATCATTTTGAGGTCCCTGGGTGGTGTAATGTTTTGTGATCGGCTAGTAACTGAAAGGTGGGTGGTTTGAACCCACCCATCCACGCTTCAAAAGAAAAGGCCTGGAGATCTGCTTCTGTAAAGATTACAGCCAAGAAAACCACATGGAGTTGTTCTACTCAGTAACACATGGGATTGCCATGAGTCAAAATTGACTCACCAGCAATGGGTGCATCATTACACACACATGTACACACACACATGCGTGCACACACACATCTAAAGGATAAATTCCTGACGATGGGATTAATTACCGAATCAAAGCATGTGTAATTTTTTATTTTGATATTATCAAAATGTGCTCCACTGAGGTTGCACCATTTCCCCCCACCAGAAGGTCCTTACTGTTAGTGGCTGCGTTGTTGTATAGTATTCCACGGCGTACACCCTCTCTCCCAACATCTCCAGTATGCCACTCTTTCTGCTAAGACGCAACATGTCTAAAATTAAACTCAACTACCTTTCCTCTAGAGTTCCAGAAGTAAGGGTTTCTCCCTTAGCTCAGAAAATGAAGCCGCCATGCCTTCTCCTTACTTCAGGAGCCTAGTACTGGACCTCACCTTGACTCCACCCTCTCTCTCACCCTCACGTCCAGTCCATTACTGAGTCCTCTTGATCCTCCTGCTCTGAGCCGTTGAAATCGTGTCTCTGTGCCTAGTCCAAGCCATCTTCTAGTCTCCTGGTCCAGGCTATCTGGAATATGGTGCTGACCTCCTAACTAAAATGCATTATCCCCCTGCTAAAAATCCTTCATTGGCTCCCCACTGCCTTTCAGATAAAGTATAAATTACTTTCCGCTGTTTATTAATCAGGATTAGGCTCAGCTGTAATACACCAAAAAACAAACAAGCAAACAAAAACCAAACCCATTGCCCTGAGTGATTCCAACTCATAGCAACCTACAGGACAGAGTACAACTGCCCCACAGGGTTTCCAAGGCTGTACTCTTGTTACCCAAACAGGGTCCGTGCCCTGGAGCAAGCAAGCCAATGAAACATACTCCAAGTCAGAAAGAGTGAGAAAGTTTTACTTTAGGAAGTGTATACCAGCGGGGGTCCGACAGCAATGCAGGCTGTCTCTATGGAGTGCCAAAAGGCATTTTTACATGAGAGTTTATATATGATTTTTACAAAAGGTTAGAAGTGTTGTTATACATTGTAAGGTAATTACAAGAGATTCTTTATCATACTAAAGAGATACCTGCCAGATATTTCCATATCTGATATCTGGGCTCTAATCTTCCTGTGGGGGGAGGTCGTTAGCCACAGGTGGCAAAACAAAGTCATTAACAAAGGTATGCAAAAAGGAGAAGGCAAAGAAGAAAAAAACTTACAGGTTCATCATGGCGTTAGTTATGTCAAGCTCTCAGTCACCCATCTGGAAAAGGAGAAAACATACTGGGGAGTATTAGGGTCACACTCTGGCGCCAGTGGTTAAGAGATTGGCTGCTAACCAAAAGGTCGGCAGTTTGAATCCACTAGCCAGTCCTTGGGAACCCTGTGGGGCAGTTCTACTCTGTCCTATAGGGTCGCTACAACTTGGAATCAACTCCACAGCACTGGGTTTAGTTTTTATTTTTTTGGAAAACTTTACAGAAGCAGACTGCCATATCTTTCTCTCGTGGAGTGGCTGGTGGGTTCAATCACCTTTCTGTTAGGCGAGTGCTTAACCACTTTGCCACCAGGGCTCCTTCAGCTGTAATATAGAAACAGTCAATTTAACAGCAGCTAAAATGAAATAGAAGTTTATTTCTCTCCTGTGTAAAAACCCTGGAGGCAGGCAGCCCGGGGCTGGTCTGGGCTCCCTGTGTCAGGACTCAGGCTCCACTCTTCTTGCCCCACTGTATGTAGTACTTTCGGGTCCAAAATGGATGCTGGGGCTCCAGCAATCAGGTCTACATTCTAGCCAACAGGAAGGAGGAAATGAGGGTAGGCCCTCCCTTTAAGGGAGTCGCACGCCTTGGGAGTCGCACTCAATATTTCCATTAATATTCTATTAGCCACAGGATGATACCTAGTTGCAAGGGAGATGGATATGTAGTCTTTATTCTGAGTGGCTTTGTGCTCATCTAAAAACCTCGGGTCCTAATCTTACATAAGAAGGGGAGACCAGAGATTGAGGGACCACCAGCCATCTCTGCCATGTGGGGCATGTAGAGCCCTTCAGAACAGGACTCCTGCTCACCTCACCGGCCTTATTTCTTGATCTTTTCACACTTTACTGCAGCCACACTCATTCCCCAGCTGCAGCTTGTTCTTTTGCCCTTTCCCTCTCCCTAACAACAACAACAAAACAGTTGCTGTTGACTCATGGCGACCCCATGTGTGTCAGAGTACAACTGTGTTCCATTGGGGTTTTTCGCTGTTGTTAACTGCTTTATTGAGATATTATTCACATACCATACAATTCATCCATTAAAAGTGTACAATTCATTGGTTTTTAGTGTAGTTACAGAGTTACACAACCATCACCACAGTCAATTTGAGAACATTTTTGTCACCTCAAAAAGAAACCTCAAATCCTTTAGCTATCACCCCCTTACCTCCTACACCTCCTAGCCCTAAGAAACCACTAATCTGCTTTCTGTCTCTATAAAACCCAACAACAAAACTTGTTGTCATTGAGTTGATTCCCTATTTTCAACATCTCATGTAAATAGAGTCACACAATATGTAGTCTTCTGTGACTGGCTTCTTTCACTTAACATAGTGTTCAAAGTTTCCATAGGGTTTCAATGACTGATTTTTCAGAAATAGGTCATCAGGCCTTTCTTCCAAGGCACCTCTGGGTGGACTTGAACCTCTAATCTTTTGGTTGGCAGTGAGTGTGTTAACTGTTTGCACCATCAGGGAACTCCTCCCTCTCCCTAGGACAGTGGTTATCAGACCAGCAGCAGCACCTCACCTGGGAACTTATTAGAAATGCAAATTCTCAGGCCACATCCCAGACTTACTGAATCAGCTCCTCTGGGGATGGGGCCCAGAAATGTGTATTTCAACAAGTCCTCCAGGTGATTCCGATGCATTCTCAACATATGCCTCTCCACAGCACCTGGCTAACTCCTACTCTCTTTGGGGTCTCACTTTGAATACTACTTCTTCTTCTGGGATAGAGGCCTCTCTGGGCTCCCACAGCTCCATGCCCCACCCCCCATATTAGCAGCGATCACACTGTACATAATTTTATGATTACTTATGTGCCCTCAAGTGGACTGGAAGACCCCAAGGGCAAGAACGCTGTCTGAGACATCTGTCTTCCCCAGCACCCACCTAGGACCAGGCCTGGGGCAGCTCCCAGTGAGTGCTGAGTAAATGAATAGGATCCCATCTCTGTAGCATATTGGAATGTAGTAGACCCACTAGTTCTGAGACGGGTTAATTTTCTTTACTATGATTTTTAGGAACAAGCTGTGTTTCCAAACAGTTTCTTTAAATGTAAAATTTTTGAATAGGAAATACATTTACATAGTTTAAAATTCAAAAAGTATGAAAAGTCTCCTTCCAGCCTTGTGTATCCTTCCAGAGAGAGTTTATGCATATATAAGCAAATATATTTTTTCCTTATTTTTTTTGTAACATATGAGCCTTACATACACATAGTTTTGTGTTTTGCTTTTTTCTTGTAATGCATCTTGGAGATAGGTCCACATCAGTATGTAGAGAGCCTCCTGGTCCTTTTTCAGAGCTGTATAGTATTCCACTGTGTGAATGCCCCCTGGTGTTTTCACCAGCCCCCTACTGCTCGACATTTGGGGCATTTCCTGTCTTCGGCTAGTAAAACACAAGGCTCTAATGAACAAACTTCCATGTGGTTGGATTTTTTTTTTTATGGTACTTTAGGTGAAGGTTTACAGAGCAAACAAGTTTCTCATTAAACAATTAGTATGCATATCGTTTTATGACATTGGTTGCCAACCCCACGACATGTCAACACTCTCCTCTTTTCGACCTTGGGTTCCCCATTACCAGCTTTCCTGTCCTCTCCTGCCTTCTTGTCCTTTCCCCTGAGCTGGTGTGCCCATTTAGTCTCATTTTGTTTTATGGGCCTGTCTAATCTTTGGCTGAAGGCTGAACCTCAAGAGTGACTTCATTACGGAGCTAAAAGGGCATCTGGGGACCATACTTTTGGGGTTTCTCCAGTCTCTGTAAGACCAGTAAATCTGGATTTTCTGTGTTTTGTTTTTGAGTTAGAATTTTGTTCTACATTTTTCTCCAGCTCTGTCCGGGACCCTCTATTGTGATCCCTGTCAGGGCAGTCAGTGGGGGTAGCCGGGCACCATCTGGTTTTGCTGGACTCAGTCTGGTGGAGGCTGTGGTAGTTGTGGTCCATCAGTCCTTTGGACTAATGTTTCCCTTGTGTTTTTGGTTTTCTTCTTTCTCCCTTGCTCCAGACAGGGTGAGACCAGTGGAGTATCTTAGATGGCTGCTCACAAGCTTTTAAGACCCCAGGCACTACCCACTAAAGTAGAACGTAGAACATTTTCTTTATAAACTATGTTATGCCAATTGAGCTAGATGTTCCCTGAGACCATGGTCCCCAACCATGTTGTTGGGTTTTTGTGGGCAGTTTAAGTGGAGGATGAATCCCCAGATGTGGGACACCCAGTCAAAGACGTTTGCATCTGTCATTTTGAGACACACTGCCCAACTACCCTGTCAGTGTACCACCCTCCCAGCGGGGGAAGAGAGGGGCCACCAAACGGCCTCACCTTAGCCTCTTTCTCCCTTTCTTTCTAGATGCGAGCCACCCCTCTGGCTGCTCCTGCCGGTGCCCCCTCCAGGAAGAAGCGGTTAGAGTTGGACGATGACCTAGATGCCGAGCGCCCCACCCGGAAACGAACTCAAAACCAGTCCCAGCCCCTGCTGCCCCCCTGCCTGCTTCCCCTGAGCCCACCCCGTGCCCCAGATCCTGCGCCTACTGTGGCCACTGCCTCTCGGCTTGGGCCGTACATCCTTCTGGAGCCTGAGGAGGGCGGGCATGCCTACCGTGCCCTGCACTGCCCCACAGGCAATGAGTACACCTGTAAGGTATGTCCCCAGGGGCCACTCTCACCCACATCACAGGGGTCTGGAGGGGCCTTGGCTCCAGAGGATTTCCAGGAGGGATAAGGGGTCCTTATATTCATTTATTCCTTCGTTTATTAGAGAAGCAGCCCCCAGTTCTCTGTCAGGCCCTGGGCTGAGGTCAGAGAGGCATCCAGACATTGTCCCAGCCCTTGAAGAGTTCACAGCTTAGGCCCTAGAGTGTGACAGATGCTCAAGCGTGCAGCTCAGGGGGCCGGGGGAGCAGAGACGCCTCTAGTGTATTCAAGGGAGGGGGTGTCAGAAAAGGCTGGGTAGGCACTGGCCGGGTAGAAGTGGGAGAAGGGAGTTCCAGTCCAGGGGAACAATGATGCAAAGGCCTGGAGGGGAGTGGAATTAATAAGATGGTGGCTGGAGTGGAGAGGGTGTGCAGAGAGGGGCAGGAGGTGGTCATTGGTGGCAGCTGGTCGAGAAAGCATGAAGGAGCTTCCACTGGGCTGTGGGGAGCCACTGAAGGTGTTTGTACAGGGGAAGGGTGGGGTGTGGTAGACATCAGAACTCCTGGGATCCCCGAGATCATTGAGTCTAACCCCTGTCATTTTACAGATGGGAAGACAGGTCAAAAGAGGGGAAGGGCCATACATGAAGTCACATAGCACGGGGCCTGGCTCCTAGGCCAAGGCCTGTTGTTGTGTGCCATTGAATCGATTCCAGTTCATAGTGACTCCATGTGAGAGAGTAGAACTGCCCCATAGGGTTGCCTAGGCTGTAATCTTCACAGAAGCAGGTCACCAGGTCTTTCTTCCGCAGAGCTGCTGGGTGGGTTTGAACCTCCAACATGGGGGTTAGCAGCTAACGCTTAACCATTGCCCCATCAGGGCCCCTTCGGGCAAGGTTAGGGGCAGAGAAGTCTGAGGATTCCTGGTAGGAATCAGGAAGTGGGCAAGGTTAAGGTCCCCTGAGGGTCAGGCCCAAGCAGGGTGTTGTCAGGTCACAGCCAAAAGGATAGAGATGAGAACAAAAAGTATAACAATAGGCGTATACTGCACACCAGGTATTGTAATTGTTTGCTCAGTGTGCACCATCTCTTTTCATCTTCATATAGGCTATGAAGTAGTTACTATCATTGTACCCATTTTACAGGTAGAAGACACTGAGGCTCAGAAATGGTGGTTACTTGCCACCTCAAAGAGCTAGGAGGGATTAGAGCTGGAATTAGGACTGGGCAGGCTGAGCCCAGAGCTGTGTGCCCACGCTAGGACAAGTGTTTCAGACATAGTGAGCTGTGCTACAGGGCAGGCTTGCCCCCAGTGAGCAGGGGTAAGGAAGATGAGGATCACCCAGGTTTACCAGGGAAGAGCAGAAGGGGCCTGGGTTCCCTTGGAAATGTGCAGAGAGACAGGGTGACTCCAGCCTCCAACAAGGGAGCAGCCCCCACTAATGGGGATGCAGTGGGCAGGGGGGGTGATCTGGACATCTGGCCCAGCCACCAGCTTCCTGGGCTCTGGGGCCCCTTCCTAAAGCGTCGCAGGTTCTTCTCAGTTCCCACTGGGGAGGGGAGTCCACACCCAGAGGAACAACCAAAGCAGGTGCAAGGCAGAAGGGCCATACCTTCACAAGGCCCCCATTCCTCAGAAACATTTCAGGGGGTCTCCTGGACGTGCTTGCCCTGTGCCAGCATAAACCACAGGGGCTGCACTATCATCCCCAGGTCACCTGGGGGGTTTTGGTCAGTGTGTAGAAAGATCAACATCTCGTCTTGGTAGATTATCACCTTTCTCATTAATTCAACAACCCTCACTGTGTCACATGTCACTGGGCCGTGGTTATAAGATAGATAAAGCTCTGCTCCCACTGAACTGACTTTCCAGTGGGGAAACAGACAACAAACAAGTGGATAAGTGAAACCTGTGTCAACTGAGCCTACGTGCTATGGAGAAAAATAAGGCTGGGAACAGGGCGAGGGGGTGGGGAGGGCAGGGGGTACAGGATATCATTTTAGCTAGGGCAGTCTGGGAAGACCTCTCTGAGGAGGTGCCACGTGAGCAGTGAGTTAAATGAACTGAGGGGGCTGGCCATGTGGGTATCAAGAGGAAGGGCATCCAGGCAGCAGGAACAGCCAGTACAAATGCATGGAGGAGAATGTGCTAAAAAAAAAGAAAAAGTCTCTATACCACCCCAACTATTTGTTTTTAAGCATCTACTTAAAAAAAAAAAAAAAAGTCATTCATTAAGTATGCATATCCTTTATTTATTTTTCTGCATGGCATAACCAAAAGAACATGCAAAGGGTTTCATATCAGACGAACCAGAGTGCGTGTCCCAGCTGTGGCACTGATTAGCTGTATGGCTTCCTTCACTGAATCTCAGTTTTCCCATCTGTAAAATGGGACACACCTTTCAAAGCTATGTTGAGGTTTTGATCTAATGTCCACAAAGCTCCTAGTGCAGTTCCCACCTACCTCCCCACCCTCACCATGTGCCCTTCTTCCCTCCTCACTCCCTCCCAGCCACACGGATCTTTGGCTGGGTATTTAGAACAGCTCAAGCTCTTTCTCACCTCAGGGCCTTTGTACTGCTTGTGCCTTCCACCTGGAAAGCTTATCCCATGGGCATCTCCAAATCCTTCAGGTCACTTCCACAGAGTCCCTTCTGGACCACACTTTCTAAAATCAGTGCCCTCTTCCAAAATACCCTCTATTCCAACATTTTTCTTGGTTCCTTTGCAATGTTCCTCAAAATTTGTAAATATCTAGTCTGTTAGCTTGTTTGCTGTCTCCGTATTGGATTGCAGGCACTAGGAGGGCAGGTGCTGTGGCAGTCAGTCACATTTGGTCTCCAGTGGCTGGCACAGGTGTCCATGCGTGATGAAGGATGAATGAAAGGGTGGGCAGTGAGTCGCTGAGCACGACGTGACTTCTGCATTATCTGCTCTTCTGGATTTCCCCAGCTTGGAGGGTTTCTTTTCTGTATGGGTTACCTATTGTTTTTCAGTTATCTCAAGTTTAAGGCTATATATCAAAAAAACCCATTTCTATTGAGTCGATTCCAACTCATAGTGACCCTATAGGACAGAGTAGAACTGCCCCATAGGGTTTCCAATGAGTGGCTAGTGAATTCGAACTGCTGACCTTTTTGTTAACACCATAGCACTTAACCACTGTGCTACCAGGGCTCCAAGGCTATATAGGGTCATAGTTAAGAGCACAGACGATGAGTTCAAATCCTGACTGCCACTTGCTGGCTGTGTGGCCTCTCAGCTTCTGGAACTGTGGAATCACGGTACTTACCTCAAAGGACTGTTGTGTGAGTGGAGTGACTTGGTCCATGAAGCGCTTGGTACAGCGCCTAGCCCGCAGTCGTTGTCTAAAGGGTTGGCTATGACTGTTTGCAAGCCCCGCCCAGGCTCCACAGGTCCTCACCTCTGCTTACGCCATCCTCTGCCCACAGGTGTACCCGGCCTGTGAGGCCCTGGCTGTGCAGGAGCCCTATGCACGGCTGCCCCCCCACGAGCACGTGGCACGACCCACTGAGGTCCTGGTGGGCACCCAACTCCTCTACGCCCTTTTCAAACGTTCCCATGGGGACATGCACAGCCTGGTGCGCCACCGCCGCCGCCTCCCTGAGCCTGAGGCCGCTATGCTCTTCCGCCAGATGGCCGCCGCCCTGGCACACTGCCACCAGCATGGGCTAGTCCTGCGGGATCTCAAACTGCGCCGCTTTGTCTTCACCAACCGTGAGAGGTGAGTGTGGCCATGGAGACCCACCAGCACGCCAAAGAGGTGCGCTGTGATGAGGGAAACTGAGGCCCAGGAAGGCAAAGTAACTTATGCAGTAAGTGCGGGAAGCCTGGACTAGCACCTAGTTCCCTGGGAAAAGTTGCTCAGTCCTATTGGAAGCCCCTCGGGCTGAGCACTGTGTTGTGATCATAATGGCAATGGACAGTATTGAAGAGCAAGCTGCCCTCTCTGGTTGGCCTGGCTCCTTATACATATGAGGGTAGGTACCGTTATTGTCCCCATATGATAGATGAGGAAACCAAGGCCCAGAGAGGTTAAGTAACTTGCCCAAGATCCCACAGCTAAATGGTAGAGCCAGGATTCAAACCCAGATCTAACTTCAGACCCTGGGCCCTAATTCATGCTGAGCTTGAGAGGCAGGTGGCCCAGATGCCTGGCTGGGTTTTCTCTGACTCTGGGTGACTCAGGGTGTCTCGGCCCCAGTTTCCTCTTTGGTAGCGGAAAGGCTGGACAGTCACGATGTTCCCAGGATTCCAAGTCTACAGACAACAGCCAGAACAAGCCCTGAGGTTCCAACCCACATGGGAACTGTTTCTGTAAAACTGAGAATCAGTGATTTTTCCTTAGAAGAGAACTGCTTCCTGCTGGTGGGTGGGGGGAGCCAACATCCGGCCCCCTCCCCAGACTCCTGGGTGTGCGGGATGTGTCAGAGTCACCGGGTACACACGAACATCAACCAGAGGCACCCATTTCCTGTCAGGGTTCTTTTGCAGGGAGAGGAGGGTGACCCTGTTGCATCTTTTAAACTTTATATTTTGAAATAATTTTAGACTTGCAGAGAAGTTGCAAAAAGAACTCAGAGTACTCATATATCCTTCACCACTTCCCCTAATGTGAACATCTTATACAACCATAATACAATGATCAAAACTAAGAAATTAACCTTGGTATAATACTGTTAAGGAGCTCTGCTGGCGCAATGGTTAAACACTCGGTTGCTAACAGAAAGGTCGACGGTTCGAATCCACCAGCCGCTCTGCCAGAGGAAAGACCAGGCGATCTGCTTCTGTAAAGATTTACAGCCTAGGAAGCTCTATGGGGCAGTTGTACTCTGTCCTACAGGGTTCCTATGAGTAGGGATCGACTCAACAGCGCACAACAACATACTACTACTATTAACTAAACCACAGACTGCATTCAGATTTCCCTGGTTTCCTTTTCTATCCAGGATCTAATCCAGGAACCCACCGTACATTTAGTTATTGTGTCTCCTTAAAAAAAAAAACAAAAAACAAACCCAGTTGCCTGTTGCTGTGGAATTGATTCTTACTCGTGGCGACCCCACGTGTGCAGAGTAGAACTGTGCTCTGTAGGGTTTTCAATGGCTGTGACCTTTCAGAAGTAGATTGCCAGGCCTTTCAGGTAGCCGCTGAGTGCTTAGCTGTTTGCACTATCCTTTATGTCTCTTTAGTCTCCTCCAACCTGAGACAGTTTCTCAGTCTTCCCTTGTCTTTCACGACCTTAATACTTTGGAAGAGCACTGGCCAGCTATTTTGCAGTGTCCCTCAATTTGGATCTGACAGACGGTTTTCTCACAGTTAAATTGAGGTTATGCATTTTTGGCAAGAATAGCCCCGGAAGTGATGTACCCTTCTCAGCACATCATCTCGGGACATATGTGATGTCTATATGTCTTATTACTGGTGATGTCAACTTCGATCTCTTGGTTAAGGTGGCATGTGCCAGGTTTCTGCACTGTGAAGTTTCCTAATTTTCCCTTTGTAATTAATAAATAAGGTCCCCAGGTGGTGCAAACTAACCTAAAGGTTGGCAGTTCAGACCCGCCCAATGGCCTGCAGAAGAGAGGTCTGGCAATCTGCTTCTGTAAAGATGACTGCCACGAAAACCCTATGGAGCACAGTTCTACTCTGTCATACATGGGGTTGCCATGAGTCATAATCAACTTGACGGCAATGGGTTTGCTTTTGGTTTTTAATTAGTAAGTATCTCAGGGAAGCAGGGGCGTGGTTAGAGGGAACGAGAGGGCGGCACTTCTCCCCAGTGCGAGTCCAAGGAGGGCATCAGACAAGGTGCCACAAGTATGAAAGGTGCCTGACTGGGGCAGCTGGGGTAAGGTGTGTTTCTGTTGATGCCTTGTGGCTATCAATGTCTATTCATCTTGAAATTGGCACCCCCCCCCCACCAACGTTGACACTGTCCCTGGGGGCTTGCTCGTTATCCCTGCTACACCCATGCGGGGGCAATTTCAGTGCTTGCCATTGGTGCTGTTTTCCATAGATACGCCTTTGTGGGGGAGTTACTTTCAGGCTACATAAACATCCTGTTTCTCCTCAGCCTTTCTGGCAGCCATCCATCTTGCCTGCAGCAGTTATTACTGTGCTGTTTGCCTAGTGGTAATACTGTTTCCTTCTTCCATTACATTTTAGATTAAAACAAACACGCTTTTCACAAGACATAGAATGTAAAATTTAGAATGATCTTTAAGCTAATACACAACTTCAAATAAATTTTGAGCTTAGGGTCAATACAACACCCCCAGACCTCCTGGAGGTGAGAACATGCTTCCTTTTCCTCAAGGTAATAATTTAAAAAGCACTGTAGGTGGAAGAGGTACTGTGGAGTCAGACAGACCTGGGTTCGAATCCAGGTTCTGCTCCTTATCTGCTCTTTGGCCTTGAGCAGTGGCGTCACCTGCCTGAGCCTTGGTTTCTTCAGCTGTAAAATGGACCCACAATACTTAGCCTTCACCATGCTGCGAGTCATAGGATTGGTCAATGTTTGCCAAATGTTGGTGCCTTGAGGAAGAAGATTAATAGCAGTGGTAATAGACTACGTAATCATTAATCTGGAGTGCTCTGTAAGGTTTGTTTAAAGCAGAGATCGTAAATGGCAGGCCACATTTTTTTTTTTTTTTTGCCCCCTGTGTGTGTTTGCCTGTGTTTTTAATTGGAATTGATTGCCAACATTTTAAAGACTGGGACTTTTTCATTAAAATACGGACTTCTGGCTTCTACACAAGCGGTCATAGCACTGGCTCTGGGGCCTAACAGCATGGGTTCAAATCCCAGCTCCACACCCTACAGCTGGGTGATGCCTCAGTTTCTCCATCTGTAAAATGCTGTCTTCCTTACAGGTGGTGGTGAGGATGCGATGAAATGAGCCAGGTGCTGAACTTAGCCCAGTGCCAGGTACCCAGTGGACACTCGAGTAATATTAGACTGTGTTGTTTTTACACACACACCAGTTGCCGTGGAGTCGATTCCGACTCATGGTGACCGCATGTGTGTCAGAATGGAACTGTGTTCCATAGAGTTTTCAATGGTTGATTTTTCTGGAAGTAGATCGACAGGCCTTTCTTTCTAGGTGCCTCTGGGTGGACTCGAACCTTCAACCTTCCGGTTAGGAGCTGATCACCTTAACTGTTAGCACCACCCAAGGGCTCTATGTTGTTAGTGGTGCCCTTTTTGGTAGATTTGTGCTGAGACATTTCCCAATTCTTGGTTCTCTTACTTTATTACCTGCCTGGACTCTGAATTTGCAGCTAGTTTAAGAGAGAATTAACCTTCTCAGTCCCCTCCCTGAGGGACTTTTGGGGAACGTACCCCTCTCAGAGCCTTAGTTCAAATATAATTGCTCTGTGACCTTGAGAAATGACTTACCATCTCTGAGCCAAGGCTTCCTCACCTGTAAAATAGGGTCAGTCATGCCAGGCTCACAGGACTGGTTCACATTTGTCAAATGCCAGCAGGCACTTGGGAAGTGGGTGGCCTTAGGGGTAATGACGTGGGGTGGTGGTGTGGGGGTCCCGATAGAACCTGACCCCTGTGTTTCTCCCCCGGCCTCAGGACGAAGCTCGTGCTGGAGAACCTGGAGGATGCGTGTGTGTTGACTGGGCCAGACGACAGTTTGTGTGACAAGCACGCCTGCCCAGCCTACGTTGGGCCCGAGATCCTCAGCTCACGGACATCCTACTCTGGCAAGGCGGCAGATGTCTGGAGCCTGGGCGTGGCACTCTTCACCATGCTGGCCGGCCACTACCCCTTCCAGGACTCAAAGCCTGCCCTGCTCTTTGGCAAGATCCGCCGCGGGGCCTTTGCCCTGCCGGAAGGCCTCTCGGCCCCAGCCCGTTGCCTGGTCCGCTGCCTCCTTCGACGGGAGCCAGCTGACCGGCTCACAGCCACGGGCATCCTGCTGCATCCCTGGCTGAGGGAGGACCCGTGCTGTCTGGCCCCATCACGGTCCCACCTCCAGGAGGCTGGCCAGGTGGTCCCTGATGGGCCAGGGCCAGAAGAGGCTGAGGAAGAGGAGGGAGACCAGGAAGTGGGTCTATACGGCTAAGGCCACCCTACTAGACTCTCAGCTGCTAACAGTGGATTGATTCGGGGTGTGTCCAAGCTTTCTCCCTCCTCTTTGAACCGAGCCACACCTTAAGTGCCTTCTAGGAGGGAGGCAGGAGGAGACGTGTGCAGAACATGCTGTTTGCACACCTGTGGCGTCCACATGCTTGTGCACACAGGCTTGGGCATGCAACAAGTCTGTCCCGGGCATTTGTTGTGTGCCAACCCCTGTTCTGGGTGTTGGGAACACAGCACTGAAAAAAGAGATAAACCCCTCTGCCTCACGGAGTTGATACACTGGTGCTCTTGAGCCAGAGACCCCTCTTCAGGCCTACCAGCCAGGGTCTGCCCTAAACACACATTAGTACCCACGTGTCGGCACCCACTTGTGCTGGTGCTGAGGTGCCTCTGTCCCTAGGACAGTCCCTTTCATCAACAACCCTGCTGCCTTTGTGTCCAGCACCTTGTTCAGAGAAAGGAAAGTGTCCTTGTGCCAAATGCTCCCAGAGCTCAAGGCATGCTGGGAATTGTATTTGCTGCAGCTCTGTCTTCTTGATCAAGAGATGCTTTTTCAAGGCCCAAGCCAAGATGTGGGCCAGAAGAACAAGAATCCAAACTATGAGGCTGGTCCTCATCTAACTTAAGGAATGGCTTAGAATGAGGGTCCAGGCCTACCCACCTTGGTGAACCCTGACCTGAGCACAGAGGTTAGGGGGCAGGATTAGGCAAGGGTAGGCCCTCTGGCCTCCTGGGAAGGATCAGGCCCTGTTCTGGGGATCACACTTCAACACTATGGGTTTTGGATACCATGAATTTATATTTTTACCTTGTGCCTTAATAAAGGAGAGTTATAAAACACTGGTTTCTCCAGATTTCATCTATCCTCCCCTTCCTGTCTTTGGCTCCAAAACAGCATCCATGGTGAACAGCTAGAGGCCTGCGTCTCAGCCTCAGCTGAGGAGTGTGTGAGATTAGATCCCCGGGAGCCCGGCAGATCTAGCTGCACTACCTCTGTTTCTTCTGGTGGCAGTGGTATCTCAGTTGGGTGCTTTATGGCTGCAAGTCACAGAAGCCCTGAGTCAAAGTGGCTTAAACAAGAAGGAAATGTATTTTCACACACGAGAAGAAGTCAGTACATGAGGCAGGCTCTCAGAGCTGGTAGCAAGGACCCATGCTCTCTAGGCCCTTCCTGTTTCTTTGCTCTGTCGCCTTGGTGACTCAGTGTGACAGCTACAACAGTCAAAGTGTCACACTGGAGAGGCTGATGGCAGAGGAAGACTTGCTTACCTGGCCCACGAATCATGAACTAAAACAATTGTCATCTTAAGTCACTACGTTTTGGGCTGTTTTGTTATGCAGCAAAAGCTGACTGATACAGAGAGGGACAAGTTAGCCTCAACCCTGTGTGCCCAGCACTGCCCACAGCTCACAGCAGTGACTTTAAGTGAATTAAGTGACCACTGTGTATCGGATCTCATGTGAATCTCATGTGGCATCCCTTGCCTTTTACCTCTCCCCTGCCCAGCTGCCAAAAGACCCTGCCCTAGCCCCCCTTGCAGGCGGAATGTCCTCGCTTGTGCCAGTGGAGCAAGGGGAAGGGAGGCAAACTAACATAAAATGAGGGCTGCCAAGGGGCAGGCACTGTGCGAAGCCCTTTATCTGCATTACAGAGATAGATTCATTTAATCCTCCCAACAACCATAGGCACTCATGCTCTTGTCTGCCTGGTTTTACAGACAGAACAATGAGGTTTAGAGAGAGCAGAACTCATCCAAGGCCACACAACAGAGAACAAGAGTCACCTGGTTTTGCGTTGAAGCAGGAGCTTTTGGCAAGGGCAGCCACATGAAAACTGCCCAGTCACAGCAAAATCCATTCCCTTATTACCAAGTGATGGATGTAGTCTCACTCCTGACACCAATTAGTGGGGTTTTTCCTGTTCTATTTTTATTCACTTAATCATCATTGTATAAAAGTTCTACAATATCAAATGTAATACATGCATTACTGGGAGGAACTGTTAGAAATTTAATTGAGGCTTTTCTCTGCAACTGGGAGCTGAATATAAAAAAATCATATTGTCTCCTGCCAATTATTCATTCACTTAGCAATTCAACATCTATTACTGAATGCCTACTATAGGCCAAAAAAACCCTCAAACCTGTTGCTGTCGAGTCAATTCCAACTCATAGTGACCCTATAGGATAGAGTAGAACTGCCCCACAGAGTTTGCAAGGAGCAGCTGGTGGATTCGAGCTGCCGACCTTTTGGTTAGCAGCCAATCTGTTAACCACTGCACCACCAGGGTTCCATACTATAGGCCAGGGCTCATGAAAGACAGACAACATGGCTCTCGCCCACAACTACTCAGTCTAATAGAGGAGAGAGATGTTAAAAAAAATTATTCTTGTCGTAACTACTTCGTGGCAAAGACAGGCAACACCAAATACACCATCTGCTCCCTTACATTTCCTGGCTTCCCTTGCAGTTAGGTTTGGGTCATATGACTAGTTCTGACCAATGATGTGTGAGTCAAAGTGATGGGGGGAGGGGAAGGGTCACTTCTGGGCTGAAACTGTTGACAGCCAGCAGCTTCCATCTCTCTCTTCCCCTGCCACTAACATAAAATGAGGGCTAACATAAATGAGTGACTGCCACTGCCACCTTAAGGCCACTTTTTCCCTTAGCTACAAGATGGAGGAGGGCTACCAGATTCACATGGCAGTGGCAGGGGAAGAAAAAGATGGAGGCCCACCACCTCTCTCTGTGGCTAAGCCCTGCCCACCCTTTGAGGCTGGACCTGTATTTAGTGCCCCACTGCTGGTGGGACTGGAAAATGATGCAGCCACTGTGGAAAACAGTTTGGTGGTTCCTCAAAAATTCAAACAGAATTATCATATGACCCAGGAATTCCACTTGAAAAGCAGGGTCTCCAGCAGATACTTGTACACCAATGTTTATTGCAGCAATAGTCAAAAGGTGGAAAAAAACTCAACAGATAAATGGATAAACAAAATGTGGTATATACATACAATAAAATATTATTCAGCCATAAACAGAAATGAAGTTCTGATAATGCTACAGCACGAATGAACATTGAAAACATACTGAGTGAAATAAGTCAGACACAAAAGAATAGATATTGTATGATCCCACTTACATGAAATATCTAGAATAGGTAAATGCATAGAGACGAAAGTTTATTAGTGGTTACTAGGGCTTGGAGAGAGGGGGAAAGAGGGAGTTATTGCTTCAGGGGTACTGAGTTTCTGTTAAGGGTGAGGAGAAAATTTGGAAATGGATAGTGGTAATGACTCCACAACATGGTGAATGTAAACAATGTCACTGAATTGTGCATGTAAAAATAGTTGAAATGGCAAATTTTTGTTATATATATTTTACCACAATAAAGAGAGGGAATTGGTGAGATAGAAATCAAAAACCAATTACAGATTCAAGAGACTCAGTAAATTTTCACACATATATACATCATAGTGAAAATGCAAAAAGCCAAAGACAGAAAAAAGTCTCAAAGGCACTCAGAGGGGAAAAAAAAGAGAGAGAGAGAGAGATTACCTTCAAGACAACAGAAGTACAACATGGGTAAGTCTCCAAAACAGTTCGCTAAGTGAAAGAAGCCAGTGACAAAGAACTACATATTGTAAACTTTATTATGAAATGTGCAGAATAGGAAAATCTATAGAGAAAGAAACTAGATTAGTAGTTGCCTAGGGCTGGGGGAAGAAGCCCTGGTGGTGTAATGGTTAAGTGCTTGGCTGCTAACCAAAAGGTCGGTGGTTCAAACCCACTAGCTGCTCT